TAAATAATTGTGACCACCTTATATAAAAAATAAATGGTCTCCTTGTATACAATCCCAAAAGTTTATATAAGGTGTGTCATTGTACAAGTAAGATACATCTAAAAAACCAACTAGGGAAGGATGTTTCATGCTGCAAAACCCTCATAATGATTATCTCAACCTTGAGATTCATCTACACAAAAAAATCTAGTCATAAAAATAATTTATTTTCTAACACATTATCTAGACCGTTCATTTTAAAGATTTTCATGTGTTTATAGATCTGCTTGATCATCACCATTTTTTGGAACTTTAAATTTCATAGTTGGGGGAAACAATAGATTCTCATATCATCGCAAGGCTTTACGAGACCGAAACTATATTTTTGGCATGGCTTTGAGGCGCACCTTACTTTAATAATATAAGGTTGACACCCTATATAAACCTCACCCTATTATAAGATATTGTAGTCTAGGAATTCTATATTATAAGATTGTTTATTTTTGATACAAAAAGACCCCAGCCATCCGATATAAAAGTCAACAATCTATGGTAGTTCGAAACAAAAAAAAATTAAACTTCGAGCCTTGCCAATTACATACCTCCATTCACGAGGTTCATGAAATAGTTCAGAGTAATTATGAGACCTCTTTGTATCAAAAGTAAATGTTCTTCCGATATACTTCTCCTATAGATAAACTTTATACATTGTCAATATCCACCAAATGTGTTCCTTTCGGTTCTTCTCCTCCTTTGTCCCAGTAACATTTCAGCAGAAAAATTCCCAAGTCAAAGATCATACACTTCTTAGATAGACATCGCATTGAGGAGATTTCTTAGACACCAAATTTTGGAGTATACACTTTATCAACTAACTTATTAAAACAAAAGGAAAGATGTGAGCAACACTATATCTCAAGTTTGATTTTTCGTATTGAACCACCCCCAAAATACCCTTAAGAGAGGAAAAAAAGAAAGAAAAATTAGTGAGCATTTGTGATGAAATATGTTTGATTTTTAGGTAGTCAAATCGAACTGTTTGAAGGGCG